AGGTCCTGGGAGAACCCCACCCCGCGTGCAGAGCCGGAGCAAAGCAGGTCGACCAGCAGTCGCAGCCCAAGCTGAGCCGCGAGCCAGCGCGCCACTGCTGCGGAGAGACGGAGCGCTGAGCGACGCCCGGCTCCTTCATTAGCTTCCCCTCCACGCGGCGCTGCACGCCTCAGAAAATAAGTTAGCAAACGGGGAGCCGTTTATCTCTTTTATCTTGGGGCCTGATCCAATTAAATAAGTGCACATTTACATTTGCATCCATCAGGCGGGAGCGCTGAGAGCCTGGGGTTTGCTCGGAGCAAATAAAAGCAGATTTCACTGGGAAAGTGGCGTCTGGGCGCGCTGGGCTCCTTCGGGTGCCGGAAACGAATGCCGTGCGGTGGGCGGCTGTAGGAGACCCCAGGATGGGACATTAGCCGACCGGATGCGGGGGACCTCCCCCCCAGCGGCCCCGAGGGGTGGGCCTGTGCTGGGGTTCCGGCTAAAGCTGCAGCCCTGCCCCTGAGGCGCTATCTTGTTACCCCAAAGTCTGGGCCCGCCAGTGCCCGGGGCCCAAGTCTCATCGGCAAAACGAAAAGAAGACCAGATCTGGCCTGGTCATAAAGGTAGACCTACAGGGTGGTTTTAGGGATAGTCGCCAAGCTTGGGCTAGTTTGAGGGAAAGGCGGGCATAAGATCCCAAAATGGCGAGATTTGGTGAAGGAGCGGAAGGGATGCAAAGAGTCAGGCTGAAGGCTGTCTGACTTCCCCCAATATGTCTTTGCAACCGAGTGAATAGAGTTCACAGGTCCCGTTAGCACTTCAGGCGGGTGGGCAGACGCCGGGGCTAGCGTTCCTTGCTTTACCACGCCAACCTCATTAAACGTGCTTTCGAAACAGGAGGGTTCCAAGCAATGGGAGGGTAGTTTTGTTTTATTTGCTTTCTGTTTTTAAAATAATATCCATCCCCAAAGCCCAAACCTGTTAAGACCAAAATGTCTCCGGGGGCTTGGTGGCCTGGTAGCGCCCTTTGGACATACCAAGCTGCAAATTAATCAGGTCCAACACAGCCCGGAACTCGACCTTGGAGGGGCCATCGGATGAGGAAATACGGCAACCTGGAGCCTGAGGGGGAGCCCCCGCGCCGTCGGGGCTGTGCTCAGCTGATGACCCCTCTGTAGGCTTTAGTCACCTACACATTTCTCAGTTGCCTGTTGCCCGGTGCTTTAAACAGTGCAGAAGCCCTGGCGGGAATCCACCGAGTTAGAGCTGTTATAATCAAAGGCCCTGCTCCCCAAATCCTCAGTGCAAATTGGGTCCCGGGCCCAGGGTGGAAGCGACTTGGGTGACGAAGCAGCTTAAATTTGACTAGCTCAGAGTTCAGAGTTAAAACCCTGCTGTAGGTCGGGGTTTAGTCTAATTTGGCCCTCCCGGGGAACACTATGGTTCTGGGGAACCAGTAGGCGGCGCCTTCCCTAAACTGCATCCTAGTCGGGCTCCCCCTTGGGAGCGCAATCACATTCCTTTCGCTTTGGGCGCTTTGCAAGGCGCTGTCCTGGGCCTCCACTCGAATTCGCAGTTACTTGTGGGAGACAGATGGGCACACGTGGGGGGCGGGCAGGCTGGTGCCAAAAGCACACCCACGAGAATCTCCTTCCCCTCAACCTTAAAGGGCCCAAGAGCCACACATTCATTCCCAAGTAATCCTGAGGGGTTTGCAAAACAGGAGGCCTCGCAGCAGGCTCAGCATTCCAAGTTGGGGAACGACTTTTTGGACCCCAGTACCCAAAGCTTAGAAACAGGAAGTTGAAAGACCTTCTTTGGAAGTCTCTCGACTAGCGGGTCGCCACCGAGACTTTCCCGAGCCATTCCCTCCTCCCTCCCAAATCCCAGGAACTGATTCGGCCGGTACTGGCGGGTAAAGGGAGAGAATGAACAAACCCCACGCGGTGACCTCACGACTCTTAATAGTAGGGATTGATTCAGCTCCTCCAAGTCTCTAGGTGCCAAGTTAGGTGCTTGTTGGGGTCCAGAACCCGCCCAGCCAGGAGCAGGTGGCCAATGCCCGCGCAACCTCAGCAGGAGCTGTTAGACTCTGCTGTGGAAAACCTCTACGCCCCAGTCCAAGCCTTCGAACAAACTCTGACCTCAGCAAACGCAGAAGAACCCCCTGCACAGAGCCTCTAAGACACACCACACCGTCTCCTAGATGGTCCCTGAGGCGACAAATCGGAAATTCCTTTGGGGGAGGGACGTGGATCTCTAGAGACGCCTCAACTACTGGTAGTAAAAGCGAGTTATTTACTAAATGTCCGCAGACTAGATATGTCTGGCAGGCCGCCTCCAAACTGGATAGTCGTTAGACACCAGAAAAAGCGCTGGCCACTCAAACCCAGCTCCGCAAAGAAGAAAACCTCAGAGTTAACTGGGGGCTCGAAGTCAGTAAGAAGTACTCAAAGCAAACCACAGACCCTTGCGCAGGCCAATCACCGGAGGGATGAGAGGAGGGGACAGCGACTCGGGCACCGTGAAGCCTGGGAGCCCAGGGAGGTTGAACTGTCTCTCCTTGGGGAGAAAGGCTGAGCGCCCCAGGACGCACGGCCCATTCCCAGGCACCCCGTTGGACTTCGGACTTGCAGCCCCAAGCTTTGGTTGTTGAACCTGAGAGGCCTGGCCACGGTATTTGCATTTGGGAACACGGGGAGGCCTGTAATTTTCTTTTTAAAAATCACGGAGCAGGGTTGAGGTCCAGTGTTTCCAAAACCCCGCCGAGTTGACGTCGTCTTTAAATCTGTTTGGAGACGGACTGGCCTATTCTTCCTACTTTTTTTTTTTAGAAGAGAAGCTGACTACTGGGGCCGCAGATTCAACGGAGGTGGGGGGAAGAGCAGATTGTGAACCAGGCTGAAGGGGAGGGGGCTTGGAGGGGGTTGAGACACTAGAGTGGAGGGAGGGCAAGTCATCTCTGGAATTCAATTGTTTAAAAAATCATTTATAATTAAAGGGACAAAATAAAATATGATCATCTCATGCATATTTAATCACTCACACTTCCAGCTTTAAAACCACTTTCCCTGTGTGAATTTTCTCACTAATTTAAACTCTAAAGTCGACCACTGTTCGCTAAAACAGCTGTGCAGTGCAGCCTTCAAACTTTAGATTCGAATAAGCTAAAAGGAACTTCTCCGCAGTGAAACTCCAGTGAAACTTTGGGGTGTGTTTAAAGCACAGTAGGGTTAAAGTAATCTTGAGAAGAAATTCAAATATGTGCATTTTGATTTAGCCTAATTAAACTGGTGTTATGTGCAAACACACTCTGTGTCTACACCCAGGCTTGGGCTAAATAGAGCAAATTAATTCCCCTTGCTGGGGTATGTTTCTGCTGTAACACACCCCGCTCGCCCCCCGTCCTGATAACCGCAAATTTCCCACAAAGTAACAACAGTTTGGCGGCTGTTCCCATATCTCCGGAGCAAAATGGAGCCGTGGGCACCGCAACCAAACCAGAACAGTCAGGGTTGGCTGGCCTTGGTGCAGGGTGGTGTCTCTTCCTTTTAGGGCTAGAGATGTATCTGAATTTGCATTTTGAGGAGAACCTTGCAGGATCAAGAGGACAATATAAAACCTCAAAAATACTTCTGTAGTTACTTGGATTCCTGAATCTGAGAGCTGGGTAAAGTGTTAAAGCGACGACAAGCCTCAACGAGTTCACCAAGGCTTCCTTATCTAGGCAATGGCCTCGAGCTTTTGAAGGCCACTTGTCCACAAAGAAGCCTGAGGGGGAGGGGTCTGAGGAGTCCTTCAGGGGCTCCCCACGCTTCTCCGAGTCACCGTGGTAGCTCCCTCCTCCCGCTGCCTCCCATTCTCCCATCTCCACGAAGAGCAGGCTCAAAATTCTGGACAAGTGTGACACCTACCTGTGAAAGGGGGGAACCGTCCCCTCGCCGGAGGCTATGAGGGCATCTACAGGGCCGCCCACCACCCGCGCGGTCTTGGATGGATCGTTCACTAATTTAATCAAATCCAAAGAAGAGATCAATGCCCAATTCTGAAGGGGTAGAGAAGACAGTGACTTGGGAAAGCCTTCCCCTTGGCGTCCCCTAACGCTCCCTGCCTGTATCAGCCAGCAGCACCTTTGAAATAGTAATAAGGGCTAAATCCGGCATAAAATCGAACTCATTAGCAAAGTTCACCAGCTGATTGCTTTGCATAAAACACGACACTGATTGGAAGTAATTAGGTTAAGCGATGGAGCTCGAGTGGTGCTGTCTTTAGCTGGCTTTGCCATCTTTTCTCCCTTCTGGGCACACACTGGGTCTCTATTCTCTTTTCTCCAGGGTCCAGTATCCCCCAAGCATCCCTCATCAGTGACCCAAATGAGCATTCTCCTGCAGGGCTGGGTTTCCCGGGGCTTCCAGACTAATTATGGTTTTCTCCTGGTACATTGTGGAACCTTTCATTCCCCACCTCAAAAAAAGTTGCAGTTGCACCTTTTGACCAAGGCAATGGACAGTTTATTGAAGCTTCTAAAAAGTAATGAGTGGCTCTGATTATGTTAAAATCTCTTTTAATTAAATATTTTGCATTTTACAAAGGCGGCTGCAGTTTCTTTTATTTTTTAAATCTAAGAGTATAACCTGTTTCCTTTCTGCAATAATACTTTAGCTCATACCAAGAAAAAAATCAATAGGTGTAAAAAATTAAATTAAACTTGTATTTTAAACTATGAAACAATTTTGAGAGAAACACAAATGTATATATTTATATTACAAAAAACAGTAAATGCCTGTACAGGTGTCTTGATTTCATAATTTACTTCAAAGATATTGAATTATCAATTTAAATACAAAAATGCTACATTAAATATACAGAATAAGATTTAATACAAATCCTTTTTTTTTTTTTTTAGTTTTTTCTTTTCGGTTGGCTTAGACTTTTTTTTTCTGTGTGGAGATGTTTACATATTTATGTCACTCATCTCCATAAACTAAACTTTTGAATAGGAAAGGTCGTTTATTATTTCTCTCTCTCTCTCTCTCTCTCTCTCTCTCTCTCTCTCTCTCTCTCTCGGTGATGGAAAAATAACTGCCAAGGCCATGTTTTTAATAAATTAGGAAAGTCCGGGACGACGCATCCCGCGTTAAATGTCGGACATACCTTTCTTCAATTCATAAGGAGAGTCTTTGCAGAGGTCTAGCTGAGACTGGCTCCGCAACATTTTCGGGTCTTTAGCCAAAGCGTCCGCTCGATTCAACACGGTCTGGTTTAATCCATTGAAATGAGAGCCCGGCCCGGTAGTGGGGCCTGGCCCGGGGCCGGGGTGGCCATGGAGGTGTCCGAAGGATCCATAGTTCGTGTAGCCGGGATAAAAGGGTGCAGTGTAGTAGAGGGGTCGGGACAGCACCGTTCCGCCAGGGAAAGGACACTGCGCCGAGGGCGAGCGCGAAGGTGCGGG